CCGACGGAGCAAATACCGGTCGAAACGATCACAGGGGCCGTAAAATAATTACGCGACCTGTTTAGCTCAACTATTCGATACGTTTGATTTTACGATCCAAAATATGAGCACAACTGGAAACAGATAAACAAATAAACTTACTGTGGACCAAGATCAGACAAAGAACTCAATAATGTTGTCGTAATCGTTGAAAGAAACATTGTATCAATGCTGAAATCAACAACACAATACAAAATTGACAGTTTTTTCTCACACTTTATATATATATATATATATACTTATCTATATGTATATATATATGTATGTATGTATATATATGTATATATATGCATATATATGTATATATATATATATATGCATGTGCATATATGCTACAGTCGAAAAGAAAGTTCTGGACGCTTTAACAAGCATGAGATAACACCCATGCATGTTATGGAAATATTACAGTTTCTTATGTGGGACTTCCACACCGTAAGCTTAGATCTTGTTCGTCCTTATTTTCACTCCGTTACAAGACTCCACCATGTCCAGCTATACAGTCAAAGTTCGAAAGCGCGTTGCGCTGTAGCAAGAAAATGCCCGACCGCACAGTACCAAAAAAGCCAAAGAGAAGTCTGATGAATCGGATGGAGTCGAGATTCTGTCGCATCCTGCCTACAATCCAGATTGTGCTCCACCCGACTTTGGCCTTTTCCGATCAATGCAACACATTTTGAAGGGTGACCTATTTGAGTCCTTCGACTAAGTTGAAGAAGAGCTTCTTTGGTTCATACTCATAGAAACAGTCGACTTTAACCAGATCCAAACTTGGCTCATCAGTGGAAGAAAGTCATAGAAAATGATGGCCTTTATTTTGATAATAATTACTCTTTCACTCATTCCGGGAGTGCGTGCTGAACCGTTGAACTACCGTTGTTCGTTTTCACCCAATAATGTAGAGTGGTGGGCAAAAACGTTTGCTTCAGGTGGGATTCGAACTCTCATTTCCCTATCCGGAGACTGTTGACATATAACATGTTGTAGCGTAGAGTGGTGTCAAAACGGGCGTCGCTAGTGCAACGGTCCCGGAAAGAGTGAGATCTTGGTTCAAATCCCAGCTGACGCAAGCGTTTTTGCACACCACTCTACATTAATGAGTATACTGTAACATCATACCGCCGCAAAAGGCGGTTAAATGAATCCTGAATAACTACTATAGTTTTGTTTGGCATTCATGTATACATTTTCAGACGTGAATTAGCCAAAGAATCTTTGGTCGCTCATGCGAATTCAACTTTTTTAATCCACTGCGTTTCATAGAAACTGTTATTTCAGGATATAAGCACAGCGTTGTAATCAGGCACGATCAAGCTATTGAATGATTCCAGTAGTCCGAGAAAGATTTCTATCCGGCGAGAAATGTGCGCGATTGCAGCGCAAGAAATCTCTTTTGTACCAACGTCAAAAAAGACCTTTTTGAAAACCAGCGATGTGAAGCTGCATCCTGAAGTCTCCGTTTTCGAATGTTTACTAACATTTCGATGAAGAGTTCTTTTCTAGCGAATGAGACCGGTTTTTTATTTATCCCCGCATAACCGTGTAGTATCATGTATATCTAAATGTAAATGAATAAATAAATAATTAACTAAATGAATAAATGAATAAATGAATGAATGAATGAATAAGTAAAAAAAATAATATATATATATAAATATATATATATATATATATATAATGTGTGCAAATATGACTCCGCCACTTGATCAATTTCTGCCACAATAATAGTGTATAAAGATATGCAAATTTGCTTTTTTCTAGTTGAAAGTGCATCAAAACGCTGCTTATGATTTTCATAAACAAAATATTTATATAATGGTTTCATAGGGCTTCGAAGATGACAACTTCTGCACCCAAAAGAACCACCTACAGAAATTTTACTTTGAAAATTTATCGGATGGAAGTAATTGAAACCGCTTGCAAATCGAGAAAACTTCTCTCGATTAGCTGACGCGAGGTTGGTAAAATAGTCGTGGTAATTCGGCTGATGTTTCGGCAATCCGTCTTCTTCAGAGCCTGGGCGTATATAGTATTTGTCTATTTGAATGATTCAGAGAATCTTATTTATATGCTGTCTTGGTTAGGATTAAGGATCAAACTAAGAAGTGGCGCAAGGTCTCCTGTGATGGTGACCATTCGTCTTTGCGGTTCATTTCGGGGTTTTAGGCGTTTATACAAAATCCTCAAGAGTTTTGCGCGTAGATATTCTTGATTCCTGCGCTACGATCGTGACAGTCACATCAATATTCATTGCTGTGTTTTTGTACCCTATGTAAACCTAAATGCTTGCTTTTACCTGGATAGATCTGCTATATAGATGTTCTTCTATGTGGATGAAAAGTGATCTACCCGCTTCGCCTATATATATCATCGCATGCCTTACATGTTATCAAATAAATCGTGCCCGATTTCATACAGTCCTCCTCTTTTCCGTTAGGGCAGATCATACAGCTTTTGGTGCTGCACAACGATCATAAAGTCTATTGCGGATCAGCTGATGGCGTAGGGTGGGAGGTGGGATTTCAATAACTACCACGGAATTTCCAAAACCGCATTGTTTTAGGCACCTTTCAGTCGCACTACCAATTTCGTGTGATATAAATGGCAGTTTGAAGCGGACTTTATTAAGGCATGGAGTTACGTTTTTTTGGAACCTAATTCTACCTTTTAAATTTTCCCGAGTCGCTGATGTTTTGTAGTCATTGGAAATGGCAATTTCTTGTGATAAGTTTAGCGATTCGTTCCTTTCCTCTTCTCCTGTGCACACATTTTTAACCTTTCAAAACATGTTTTTAATAAGCGATTTTTTCATGTGTAAAGGATGAGAGGAAAGGTGATTGACCAAAATGTTTTTGTTAGTTGGTTTTTGGTACCATTTTGTAGTATAGCCACTATTTGAAGGCTTTACTTGGATGTTTAAGATTGGATTCCAGCTTTCGTATGGACTCTCTCGCGTAAATTTATGTGCTCTGACTGCCCGTTCGAGAGTTCTAAACACTTGTCAATTTCCTCTTGGTGGAACAGACAATGAAACAGTCGTCTATATACTGGCAGTAGAGCAATGAGCGGTGAAGAAGATACTGGAGCTTCCACCGTATACATGAAAGCGATGGCATGACTAGGTGCTAAACGTTGACCTATAGCTGACCCCCTGAGTTGTGTATAGTATTTTCCCGTCCACCGAAACATTGAACAACTAAGACATTGTTTCAAAAAGGTTTTAGAAAGAAAAAATTTAGAAAACCGTTATATTGAGAAACCATATATATTTACTTTTTGTCCATTTTCTGTGAGATGTTCAAAAATGGCTTGCATGGCAGAGTCATTTGATACGTTTGTATAGAATGAGGTGATGTTAGATGACTCCATTATGTGCGAGTTGTTTGGTTGCGCGCAACGTAAATGATCTAGGAGTATTTGAGTATTGGGTAGATGGATTGTTATGAATTTGAGCGTCACCATCTCACGAGACCTCGCGCCCTTTCTTCATTTGATTTAATAATCTGACCAAGGCAGCATATAATTAAGATTCTCCTAATCATTCAGATAGACTAAAACTACATACGCTTAGGCTCTGAAGAAAGCGGATCGCCGAAACATCAGCCGAATTACTACGACTACTTTACCAACCTTGCGTCAGCTAATCAAAAATGAGTTTTCTCGGTTTTCATATATTAATTTGTTATGCCGAGGTTTATGAAAAGTCGAAGTTTGAATTGTTGCGATATGTGCCAGCAAGATATTCTCGACCTGTTAAGAACGTATTGTCATTAAGACAAAAATTTGTCTTAATGCGACAAAAGAATTGCTTTCTCCGCCGCTGCTTAAATACAAACTTAATGTTATAACATCTAAGATGCTGTACGTATGCGGCTTACCAAGGGGCTCTCTGAAGATACTAAGCATCGAGACACAACTACTTCGCATCTTTTTAAGATGCGTCCAGAAGAAATGTTCTCCTACATAAACAAATGTGTGTCAAAAGAACATTGTGTTCAGAATCTGGAGAAACGCCTTTAGGGGGTATAGTAAACGAATCAATACCTATTTGCAGTGGTATTCGGCACAATATCAAAAACATCTAGATACAAAGTTTGATTGTCTTCAATCAAAATCAATGTGTAAAAGCGTCGATTTCCGCGATAATATCGATAAATCTGAAAATCACGGCGCTATAGAGAGATCGAGAGTCGCTGTGTTAGGTGGCGTAACGCCTGCGGATGATGAGCATTCATTATTAGAATTGGATCCAAGTTTTGCAAGCAGTCAACCCATTTCTAAATTAAACCTGCGCAGGATCGTATGCAGTCTGCAAGAACTTCAAAATCAACTGCGTTACAAGGCTAGTTTAGAAGGGTTAGGTAATTAAAAACAAAGAGTGGCGTTCAGAAACGGTCGTCCCTCGTTATCCCCGCCATGTAGATAAGGTTTTCACACGATCTTCTCAATAAGATCAACAAAGCATTTTGAGCTAAGATAAAGTCGCTTGTTTTTGTCAAGATGGGAACATGAAGTAGCGTTTTGGATGACTGAAGCTTTTTCTTCTAGTAGACACTCAAAGTATTTTTAAGAACATGATTTAACATCACAAAAGATTGAATACTTTCTACTATAGTTTTGCTTGACGAATTTCTACATCGTGGAAAATATCTCTATGAAAAAAGTTTTATCAATGATAAATCGTCAAACTTTCGTTTTACAGGATTTAATTAGTAAAGGATGAAGGCGGCGTGATGATAAGAAGTGGCAGGCGTAAAATATTGGGAGGAAAAGGCATAAGAAGACAAGGTTCTTTTCAAGACTATTAGATCATATCTATGTTTCCGGAGACGACGATTTCTCTAATAATAAGCGAATGGATTTGTGTTGATTTTTGAAGAAATTGTACATAGACCCAATGATGATGTAGAGTGGTGTGCAAAAACGCTTACGTCAGCCCTGATTTGAACCCAGATGCGATACGAGCGTCGGTGGTGCAACGGTTTAGCACATACTCCTGGATAGAGTAGGATCCGGGTTCAAATCCCGGCTGACGCAAGCATTTTTGCACACCACTCTACATCATCAATGGGGCTACAGTAACATCATAACACCGCAACGCGGTCAAATAAAATGATTTCGGATTGATTATTGGGACCCGATATCTGTCAACATAAGGGAGTTCAATGTTGATAATGACTACCTCGCCACACCGTAGACGGTTGGCTGTTGACAGATAACGCGTTATAGCGTAGAAAGAGTGGAGTGCGAAACGAGCGTCGGTGGTGCAACGGTCTAGCACATACTCCCGGAAAGAGTAAAGAGTAGGATCTTGATTCAAATCTCGGCTGACGCAAGCATTTTTAGCACACCACTCTACATCATCATTGGGTCTACAGTAACATCATAACACCGCAAGGCAGTCAAATAAAATGATTCCGATTTTTTACCATAGATATGAGCACTTTATCATTTGTAGGCGTAAAAAATTTCCGTTTTCGTCATTGATTTGAAACGAGAACTTTCAGTTCACTAGCAAGAGCGGCCCAATCATTCATCGCGTTTTGAAGCTGACTGCGACCTTTTACATGAATGCAAGAATTTGAAACATAATAATATTGAACTTCTTGAAATCAAGGCAGGAAATGCACACGTATGCATCGTTTATTCAGAATACTTTGCAATGAAGTTCCTGTTTTAAATGACGGTAGAGATTGCTGTGATGAAATGCGGTCAAGAGGGTTCGATGTCAATATTCGCACAGCTCTGTTTACTACATTTTGCCACATCCCTCTCGACCAGTTCGCCATGATGATGTTGCTCGTCTGCACAGAATTTTTGAAAAATGACTTTTTGTAAAAGATATAGCAAATACAATAAAATATGTATAATAAAGAAAGCATTTCAAACCGTAAGAGTTCCTGAGATAGTCGTGTAATTTCTTGGGATAGGGTCGATTTTCTTGTTTGGCATGGTTATATCACACAACATATTCTCATTTGTTTTTGGGCATGTGACAGTCACTGTGCTGCCAATAATGGTGCAATGTGGTAGTTTTTTCTCGTCATCCATGACTAAAAGTAACATCTTCCAACAAACATTCATTTAGATTCAAATGTAAGACAATTACAGAAATCAGGATTCTGGAGACAGACTGTAGTCAAAAATAGCGAAAAACAATCAAATACCATTGTAATTTGGCTGAGACAATGTTGAATTAAAAGCATAGGTCTTCTATTGATCGCTTTCTAAAGACCCGCTTAAAATATTATAATCTGATAAGGATATAACATGTTTTGAGCTGTTAGGTCTAAAGCTATACTGGTATCTGTTTCCTCCTAATGAAACTCATCAATAGTACACTCCCTCGATTCCATTGACTTGGGCTGTTTTATTTACTCGGACTCGATTCCTTTGAAAAGTATTATTTAACCTTAGGGTATAGGCTGAACAGAGGGAGATGCTACTGATGAGTTCCATTAGCACGAAACAGGTACCTGTATAGCACTAGACCTAACAGCTCAAAACATCTATTATCCTTTTCAATTTATAAAGGCACTGAAGTAAAAAAATTTCTTAGCCAACGTTCTGTCGTCTTTCTCTTCCTAGGAGCCGATTGATCCCAGTTGGGAGTCCTTGGGCGTTCCGTTCGGTGTTGTGTCCCTCGTTGAAAAGTTAGCCGAATGAAAGTTCTTATGTCAGCTCGGTTTCAGCTAACCGTCAAGGAAACCTATGAATGTCTAATGAACGTCTATCCTTGAGATATTATTGCTACGCTGTTTGCTATCCAGACTGTATCAACTGCTAGAATATGGCTTGTCGATATGGGAAAAAACATATACAGTCGGGGCTCACCATCAAACAACAACCATCTTGTACAACAGGGCACCAACGTAAGAGGAATCTACTCAAGCAACGTTTCGGATGTATTAGCATCAACTTCGTCTTTGCCAAATCATAAGAAATAGTGCGACTAGTTTACAACAAAATTGAAGTCACCTAAATGAAAAATCGTGTTTACTTGTTAGAGATGGATTTCAATTGCCCGAGCTTCCTTCAGGTCTGTGGTATTTTGTTGGTGAGAGCGCATTAAACTCAATATCAACTATATAGTAATTTCAAAGTCATAGTGACAAATTTGTCACCAATTCGATACGAGCCTTACATTGCCATGACACATTGATTTCTACCCGAAAACTACCAGTCTCGTTTATTAGTCGCACGTATTGGTGAGTTAGGAAAATTTACAACGCCATGTCTTTGCGTAGATGTTTTTTCTCATTTGCTCAGTGTGCCTATCAACAATGGCACAACGGAAAGTGATGAAATACCTCCAACGGAAAAAGAACTAATTTACAATTGGTACACAATATAGCACTCCGTGCACTACCTCGTCCAAGAAAAAGAATTTCGGACTCATATGTGGTGACGACTGTTGTTTGAGGGTTTTTGTTTCGCTGTCTGAATGCCTAAATCTCCAGTTGCTCAGGACATAGTAAAACTCACTCAATAACGAAATTCGAAATCGTTCAACGAGAATACTATCAAGCACTTTTCAACTGAAAATAATTGAAAAATTAAGCAAAGCGCCAACAAGGCTATTAACCTCTTGTTTTAATACGCAAAATTCACGCCGAGTTCTTCTATATCTCTCTAACAAAACAACAAGAAGATGTATCTGCAAAACTTAAGTTTTTGCTTCAAAAGAAAAAAGAAACTAAAGCTTTGTCATACTAACAACACACTTTCTCCCCAATGTAAAAGTCTTTGTATAAAAGATCTACACCATTACGGGAAAGTAAAAGTGTTTGAAGAGTACTCAAAGAGCCATTCTCTGAGAATACTTTTGAGACTTGTGCAAGCGCAATATTTCGCTCTCTGCCCAGCGGCCAAAAATCGCATCACCTCAACTTTCTTCTTTAGCACGCAGAGGATTCCAAACCACCTCTTTCCATTTTTCATTCTTTTCAGGATAACTACATTTCCGCTAAAAAGCACCTTTAAGAGATACGTTAGTTCCGCTATCGAGTTGTCATGGAGAACATGGGAATATGCAGTTTTAGGACTTCATAACATCGCCGTTAACCTCTATGACTTTGAAGCCACAGCCTATAATGCACAGTTCGCAACCCATATGACATCTTACCATGCAAAAGAAAGAATTCAAGACCAATGAGAACGTCGCGTAAGGCGGTCATACTGCCCAAAAAAGAGTACCTAAGGCAATTTGTCAACTGTTGCTTCAAAATATTAGATCTTGTCATTTTTGGCACTAGAGCAACAAACACCAAAATTATTAACCAGAAGTAATTAAAGTAGCCTGACAACACTATTCGAAGTATGCGCCATCAGCCTGAACACATTTCTATAATCTTTTAGGCAACAAATCAATACTGCTTTATGCACAATTTTCTGATCCTTCTTTGGGTACCAAATTCGTGCGTGCTTGCTGCATCATGGTCGGTCATCAAAGCCTTTACCACAACTTGCTGCTTTACGATTATGAATTGGACGCGATGCCCAGATCGATTTCAAAACATCAACCGTTCAAAAGGCTCAAGGATTTGTGTCCAGGCAGGCAGCGCTTCAGTTATTCCCTGAGCTTCGCGCCGGAACAACAACTTGAAGGACCAGCTGCGCTCCGGACGTTCACGCGAAGTTGGCCAAAGGTTCATCGTTGGAGCAATTCAGAAGGATCCAACTTTGGATATCGATGAGTTGGCTGCGACGTTGACTGTGGTCATACGAGAATTACCAGAATGTTCAAGGCAGCAGCCAAGAAGTGGAAAATGGGTCGATGATCTCCACTTGAGCTCAAATCAACACAGATGCGTAAAAGCAAGGATATCGCTCAGAAACTGCTCCGTCGTCATCTTCGAGCTTTATCTCTGGCCAAAGTTATCATGAGCGACAACTGGGTTTTTTTAAGAGTCAACACCGTCCAAATCAACGGTTATCACCAAGAAAACGAGGAACTCTAATTCCACATCTAAATTGATTCGCATCAAAGGCTAGGCCCATCATCTTTTGGGACCGGGCTGGGTCGATTCACTGGGACTTGCTGTCAGCCAGAAAGGTGATCAACTCCAAGCGCTACTGTGAGCAAATGGACCGCACGAATAGTCACGTCGACGTCACTATCATCTCAGTCTGCTTCAATATTACGCAAGGCTGTATATCGTCAAACTGGCAACGAGGAAGTTGAGCAAACTGAATGGGAGTTGCTGGATCGCCCACCGTACAGCCCTGATTTGTCGCCGTCTGGCTATCACCTCTTCCAGTCGTCGGAGCACATCCTGTGCAAGAAGTAGTTTCAAGACATCAGTCATTTTCGTCAAGTATTGGCAACTTATTTTGAATTCAGTCAAGCAGATAAGATACCGCCAGGAGTTCTTTACCGTGAAAGACATTACGAAATCGCGGGTCATAGGACTCTGTAAGGAGTGTTATCAATGGAGAAAGCGAGTGATAGTGACGCAACGAATGCAATTACCTTGAACTCTTGTTGATCAAACAGCAGAGTCTTAAATAGCCAGCTTAGCAACATCACGAAGATATAACGTCCTTCAGTTGATCCTTCACCATACTCATAGGAAAAGTGGATCAACTTCGAGGCACTTTATCATTAAAACTGTATAGTGTAACATTGTAGTGGATTATAAAGGCACCTGATCGAGGCAAGTGGGTATACGTACTGATAGAAGATGAATATCATACCATTGGTTTGCTAATGGTTTCACTCTTTCTGGGGAGTACCAGCGAAGTGGAGATGAAGCTCAACAAACTCAGCGAAGCGAGATAAGGGATGCGATTACGCAGAAATAGGACGAACATCCACATGGGATGATGTCATGATATCAGCTCGAGCAAGTCGAATTGGTTGGTTGTCTGACCACAGTGTTACCTCATGCCTCTGGTCGCCAATGAACGAGGAAGCATCATGAAGGTGAAATTATAAGCAGAAATAGAGCAACATAGGCCGCATTTGATTTTTATGTGAAGTCACCGACAAATCAATGAAGCCGCAACTCAGCGTTCACTTTTACGAGAAACGTCACCTAGCTAACTTTTCTAAGAGATCTTAACATCACTTACACAGTGCTTGAATGGTGTTTTCCGATATTTAACCGACAGCAGCAATAAGCAGACGGGACCCCAGCTTAGATCACCGAAACCGTTCCCATTTTCGGAATGAAGGAGAATACTTTTTGATAAGGAAGCTCAATAAGATGGTTATGCAATAAAATGAACTCATGACAGTTGGACGAAAAGAACGATGCAGCGGATTTTAATAGAAAGGAAGCATTTTCTTGCGCGACCACCCAATATTAGCGGCTGACGTGTTCGTGGCCTTCG